CCAAGAGTTCTGCGAGAAACAGGGGATAGAACACATCCGCTCACCGCCCCTCCATCCGCAATCAAACGGAGCGTTTCGTCGACACGCTGAAGAGAGCTTTACTCAAATCGAAGGGAGGAGAGAACTCCTAACAGAGTTTTTGAAGTGCTATCGAAGGATGCCGTGTACCACGACTCCCAAACAACTTTCTCCAGCAGAGTTATTTCTTGGACGTCAGCTACGTACAACCTTGACGCTGCTGAAGGAAGAAATAAGAAACGAAAAGGGATCACGCAAGACAAGGATGGAAAGACAGCACAATCTTCACCACGAAGCACGTGAAAGATCGTACGATATTGAAGATCCTGTCTACATTCGGAACTATCGTTCTGGAGAGCAGAATTGGATTCCTGCCCACGTGAAAAACCTTTATGGGCGAGTATTGTACGACGTTTCGATGGAAGACGGGCAATTGTGGAGAAGACACACCAACCAAATGCGAACCAGATCACAACCAAGTGCCACTGATCAAGCAAAGAAAACTGTTGGTGAACATTCCCAGTATGAAAATCCACAAGAAAAGTATAATGTAGTGCACAATGAAGAAGTGCAACCCACAAGAGATTTCAGTGATGAAAGTATGGATCCAAATGCAACCGCCACAGTATTGGATAGAATGAACCGACAACGCCGTCCACCCAATCGTCTTCAAGTACGCCCGAGGAAGAAGACATATATGTGATACATTCATCATAGGGGGGAGGTGTTGGGGACTGATAGCAGTGTTTACTATCGTGCCGTATCATTATGTATAAAAGTGTTCTGGCGAGTATGGTTCATTCTTTGTGCTAACTCCAATAAAGGTCTGCACGGTCGTCTGTGGAGTTACAACAATTAGCTCAACCCCTTCTGAAATTTTGGTTGATCGAACCTATTACTCAAATAATCGTAAACACGACTCGGGCCATTTCCTTTTGTTTTCAACAATCACACGACTTCCTAACAGTTCTCGTAGTCGATCGACAATACTCAGAAAGATAATTATTATCTACACACCTAACACTCTCCTCATATTACATGAACACTAGTAGTAGCGTGCACAAACGGATCAACGGAACGGATAAACAGAAAATATTGCGACATTCATGTACTGTATCGGAACATACCGTATATTATTCTAGGTTCTTGATTTACAAAGCTTCTATGCAGCGCGGCCAGCATTGTCATGGTTCTTTCAAGTACCCTTATGGATCCACATCCTTTTCATGTCATCACCTCGTTATATACAAATATATACGGGGCCTATGACATCTAATGCCTGTCAGCCGACATTCACTTGTGTCGGTTACACTCCA